GGCTTTGGCCAACGCAAGATTTATTTGCTTGGACTGTTTCCAATGTGGTCTTCAGACTATGTGTTGATGGTTGACTTATTAATGACGCACTAGATAACATATTCCCCCTCCTGTTACCTTCCAGCTTCTCCCTACTACTACAGCTCTGCTGCAAGAACCGCGCCGACTCCGGCCACTGCTGGAGCCTACGACCTCCTGTAGCTTCCGCGGACGTCACAAAGATAGCGCCTTCCCCCACAGCCGGGCCCATGGGAAAGTGACCAAAAATATGTCTACATGGAGGCACAGTGACAATGTTACCATGGACAAATCTTCAGTCATCCATTAATACTACTCCTGAGCAGAACAAACACTAATAGAAATCTGGGTGTCAAGAGTCACAGCAGGACCAGAGCCGGACCTTCCAATGTTAAACAGTGTTATCTGCTTTACTTAAAATCCTCCACCACTACTGTGCTAATAATACAACAAGAAAACAATATGTAACAAGATCAATACAGCAAAATCATACAGAGAAATACAAAGATAATGAGAACTTCAATCAGGACAACAACCACTGTACACTATTAGGATTAGGAATTCTCCTTTTTAACATGGCTGCCGAATGATCTGTACTGAATGTAAAAAATGCCGGTGCACCAGCTATGTAGAATTAAAATCATCAAAGTGAGTGAACCCTCTAATGGAAAAGATGACATTGTGCTCGGTGTCTGTTCCTGACAATCTGGACTAACGATAATTGGACACATAGAGGTCTATTTATAAAAATGGCACAGCTTATTCATCCAGCAAAGCTGCATGTACGGCTTTTGTGACAATGGGGCAAAAACTAAGAATGTCCTTAGTGTAAATTCCCTTCTTGTCGAATGTTCTTCAATAGGCACATTCATAAAGAACAGAGTGAATGGGAAAACTACCACATTATGGTCACTAGAGGGAGTTGAGGATCATAGGAAACAAATACATGAGTCCATAGACTCAGCACTCAAAACTAGTGGCGTCACAAGGGGGGTGCGGGGGGGTGTGGTCTGCACCCAGGTGACACCATTGACTGACAGTTATTTGGGTGTCACCCCCTCTAAAAAGTTGGGCACTCGGTCATGGACTGAGAGCCCGACAGTGTCAGGAGAGAGAAGGGGACCGGGCGGCATTCCTCATCCAGCCGGGTAAATGTCCCCTCCTCTCTCTGCCGGCGTCCATCACCAAGATGGCCATCGGCAGGCATCAATTAGATGACTGCGCATGCGCGTTGACATCATCGTGCATGCACGTGGTGACGTCATGCACATTCGTAATGACGTCACGGCGCAGTGTCACCCAGTCTCCACTCCGGGTGACACCCGGCCTCGGGACGCCCCTGCTCAAAACAGCATCAGTTCAATAATATCAATGAATCCCCAAAAGGTCATAGAAACAGTCAATGACCAAAATCTGATGCGTTTTGGCCCCAGAACTGAGCCTTAGTCATAGCCACAGAGTAAATAGGGCCACTAGATGGAGCTGAGGATCATGGGAAATAAATACATGTTAGCAAGGATATACAGGTTACAATTCTAGGGAAAGCTAGAGGGAATGAACAGACAAATGTAACTATTGATACTATGGGATAGCAATGGTTACATTTATATTATTCTACAGGATTTAGAAGATACAATGTTACAACTCTGGGAACCGCTGTAGGGAATAAGCATATAAATGTGACCATTGATACTATGGGGATAACAAAGTTACATTCATATTATTTTTATACAGGATTTAGGAGATTCAATATTACAACTCTAGGGCCTGCTGGAGGGATTAAGGGTATAAATGTGACCATTGATACTACAGGTATGGCAATGGTTACATTTATATTATTATTGCACAGGATTTAGGAGATACACAGGGTTATTCACAAAAGGGTGAAGAGTGTGGAGAAGGCAGGAGAAGTGAACAATCTAGGACAACATAGCCGATTTGTAAAGGGAACTGAATTGGAGAATTTTTCCAAATCAGCGATGTTGTCCTAGATTGTTCACTTCTCCGCCCTTCTCCAAACTCTTCACCCTTTTGTGAATAACCCTGATAATGTTACAACTCTAGTGCCTGCTGGAGGGAATGAGCATATAAATGTGACCATTGATACTACAGGGATATCAGTGGTTATATTTATATTATTATTATTATTATACAGGATTTATATAGTGCTGACAGTTTACACAGTGCTTTACAATATAAAGGCGGGTGGTACAGTTACAATACATTTCAAGACAAGAGGTTGGGAGGGCCCTTCTCATGAGAGCTTACAATCTAAATTTAAATGCTTATTCTCTCCAGTGTTCTCTTGAATTGTAACATTCTATCTCGTTACTAATGTGTATAAATTTCCTATGATCATCAGCGCCATCTAGAGGTCATACTAGGGTATTTTTCTGATTATCTCTCTTGTTTATGGATGAGTCTATTAAAGGACACTTTCCTAGAACAGAGAATAGACTAAGAACATTCGATTTTGCTTTATTATCGCAACAGCTAGTTGACTTTCACAGAAGGAATGTTCCTGCAGTGTTGCTGGATGACTAAATGATGTCTATTTGTAAACAGAACCCATAGTGTACATGAAATATCGGTAAGTAGTACCAATATAAGGTTCTGTATATGCAATCTCAAACTAGAATGAGTGTTGTGTATGGGAGTAGTATGTAAATTCCTCTCCTGCAGGCTCCATGAAAACATCCCCACCTAGTATACAAAGATGAAAGTTGCAGGGTTGGTGGCCCTGCCTGTACGCTGTGTGTGCATGTGTACACACGATGTTCTGTCACAATGTTTACCTCATGCCTGAAGCTGGGCATAGTGTGTGCTTTACCTCTCCCTCTGCAATAAATTCGGGATCTCTGAGGTCAGTGCGGGTGTACTGCACCCCCTAGTTCTCACTTAATGCCAATGCATGGAATCACCTACAGGACCACAGGGATGCAGACAGGACGGTGCTTCCTCTGCACTACTGTACTTTCTCCACAGTCTGTGTACATACCTGAGTTACAAATACTGTGTACATAAATTATTTGTAAAATAAAATATTTTAAATAAATAAGCATGAACTACGCTGGGTTCTGCACGGAGTCTTTTTGTACATATAAGACTACATATGAATATGTTGTATGTTCTTTTCTGTATAGCAGGTTCTTTTTTATGTGTATACATGGCTGGTGTTAAAGTGCAACTGAAGCCCAAAGTTTTTTTTAACTTTTGGATAGAGTGGATAGGGATTAGAAGACTTGTCAGGTTCTGCCAGGGGTTCTAGTTCTCCCCTACTCCACTAAACCCATTCATATACACATATCAATGTTCAAGAGCCTCTAAGATACCTTACACAACATTTACCATTCATGTCGAAGTTTCCATAATTCTCAAGGAAGTTGAAATATTTGATATTACTAATGAAGTAAACATTTTACAAAAGGTGTCCTTTGCCATCATCCCAAGTATGATCCTTTCATTTCGGTTGTCCATTTTTACCCCCACTGGTAACTGCATTTACCCCTCACAATTCTTCAGAACAGCCTTTCTCAACCATGTTGCTGTGGCCCCCTGGTGTGCCTTCTGACTTCCTCAGGGGTGCCTCGAAATTTTCAATAGCATCATGCCTCCAATTTGCAGAGGGCTCTTTATGTGAAAGAGGGGGGATCTGATGTGAACGGGAGGCTGTAATGTTAAGGAGACTCAGATGTGAAGTGAGGAACAGCAATTTTCCTGTGTTTTTGTGTGTTTTTGCATGGGTTCCCCCCTTAAAAACCATGCTAGACCCCTATCTCATATAAGGGTCTTAGGGGGTCCACACGTTGTATTTTACATTTTTAAATTCAGGTTTTTTACATTTTCGAGATTTTACATACTTTTAAAGGGTGCCGTGACGGGGAAAAAAGGTTGGGTACCGCTGCTTTAGAAAAATGTTGGGTAGATAATTGTAGAACCTTACCGCAATCAGTGTTCCAAGCTGCACTCCTCACAGCCATTGTGACCAAAATGATGAAGTGGTGCTTGTAGTGACAGCAATAAATGGTGCCATGCAGAGAAATCAGGAGTTGAAGAGCACCCCATAAGCGTGAAATTACCAGCTTGGATATGTTAACATTGCGTCACATGAATACATAGTCCAACCTTTCAGGGCCATGTAAGGTCCCTCCCTTGCAGTTATATAGTGTTGACACTATGTTACCCTGAAGAAGGGACTATAAGTGGCCTGAAACGTTGGACTATGTATTCATGTGACTTACTGTGAATAAATCCAAGCTAGTCATTTCACACTTATGGCGATGTCCCTTCAACCCATAATTGTAGAACCTGGCTCCTTTATTTAAGTACTTGGTTTCTATCAAAGTATACTACAAACCCTTTAACCTGGGTGCCCAAGGTCTTTTAGGAAACCTATAAACCCCATGGAAACTGAGCATATGAAGTAGTAACCCAAAGGTTACCTTCAGTGAATACTGCATATCAAATCAATCAATAGTTCCAGAGATATAGGAGTCTGAGCACTGCTATTGGTTGGTAAGACTGTTCATCTCACGAAAGAACCTATAAGGAGGCAAGAGGGGCAGAGCCAAGCTTGATGAACCAGTCTCAGGAAAGCCACTTTGCTGGTGATCTGAAGGTGGAGATTTGTTTTGCCAGGTTGATAGTTGCATATTGTTGTTCTCTTTGCTAGTTTACAATGGGGGAGTCGGGGACTAATGCCCCATCCAACTATTACAGATCATCATTAAGTCATAAGTCCCTAAGAAGAAAGTATGGTAATAAAATGAAACTAGAAAATTTAGTGCCAACACTTGTTGCCAAGACAATAATACCATTTACAACCTTGACATACTTGTCTGATTATTGGTGCAGGCTCCTTCCTGGGATGACCAGCCGCTGGTTCTCTGATACTTCTTCTCACAGTCAAGGGTGGATTCTGTGTGACGGGCTGCCTCTTCCTGAGGATGAAAGCCAACAACATTTCCAAATCTATAGCCAGCGCTAGAGCTAGATCATAAGACTACAGTACACATACTGTAGCTGCCCAATTGAATACTGTAAATGCTATACTGGAAGAAGAGTGCATAGCGGCGAATTGCAAACAGTGGATGCCATCACATTTTAAAAGCACATCATTGGAAAGTATGGTTGTTTAAGACGTAGATATCATTTACTTTAATGTGCTGCCTTTACATGACTAATCCGCCTTGATAGGTGACATTGCAGAAGAAGATATCAATGAAGTACTTGCTTTGATGACAGAGTATGTACAGTGCACTTTATAACATCAATCAGGAACATCACATATATGGATTGGCAAAACAACTTCATACCACAAAATAACAAGGTGTTCCGCAGCAAGCCTCTCGACAAAGAAATTGTACCCATCAATCAAATCTCTGTGTTCTGATGTCTTTCCGTCAATACCACCAGATCTCCCTTGAGATGTCTCATGTTTTAAGTGTATTAAAAAGGGGAATGAGAAATACAATGGCTCTTGTCTGGCAGGGGAAGAAACAAATGTTATCTCCATAGGGGAAAGCAAACTTAGGCACAAAGAAGTTAAGGGTCGTGATGGGTAAGGGGGAAAGGAGGGGAAGAAAAAAAGAAGGGTAAAGGAGGAAGATGTAGGAGCAAAGAGAAAATTGGATGAAGAGCAGGAGAATAGAGGGGGGGGAGAGGAAGGAGGGGGAAGGTGGGGTGGAGGGTAGAAGAGGAATCACCAGGGTAGAGTGGGTTGTCAACGTCCATTTAAGTCACCGTGGTGTGTACTTACCACGGTTCCAGGTTGTCTGACCAGGTTTAGATGAGGTGAGGTCAGAAGTGTAGTCCACTGTAGTTAGTGTAGTTATTCCAGTAGAACCACTTCTAAAGAAAGGTTCTTCATATCCCTTAATTGTGGAGGTAAGGTCCTCTATCAGCCTTATCTCATTGATACATGCAAACCATTGCAGAAGACTGGGGGGTTTCCGTTATACCAAGGGGCTGTAATGCACAGTACTTACCAGGACACTTAGAAGTAAGCGTTTGTATGTTTTTACCTGGGATAAGATTATGGTACAGGAGGAAGAAGGCTGGGTATTTGGAAATCTGCGGGCAATTTATTCCAACAACAGGCCGTGTTTGTTTATGGGATCATAGCAGTGATGTTGGCCATACACTCGGCAATTTTGAAAGCTTTCCATTTAAAAATAAAAAATGACATTAGACTGAACAGTCCCCCAGTAATCTGCCACCCATAGATCATTTAACTCATGGAGTGTGGCGTTCAATCTAAGACGCCACTCATTTCACTGCGACCATTATCTCATTAAAAACTAGGAGACCAAAAGTGCTTGAAAGCTGGCACAAACTACCCACCATATGGTCAGCATAGAGTTGTGCCTCGCTAATGTCTTCATCTAAGCACCAGACAATGTATCGGTTTGTGATCATGGGGTAGATGTAGGAGTTGGGTTTATACAGAACCAGCTCCTAGTGTGTACAAACAGCAAGCACCGGCCATGTTTGTGCTGCACCAGCAGTAGGCGCTGCGTGCAAGGAACAGAGAGCAGGCAGCCAGTTTCAGGGAGGTGTCTGCCAGCCTCAGGATGCTGCATTATGGGCCAGACTCCTTGGAGAGCTGTGATCATTCAAGTGCTCAGAACTCATTAGGGATAAATCAAACCAGTAACAGCAGGAAGCAGAAACAGTATACCCAGCGTTCAGCAATGTTCCCCCTCCCATACCCCAGTGCCTCCCTCTTCTCCTAAGACTCCGAATATTCTACCTCCTCCCAGATCATGATGGGGAGGATGGATGCACACAAGCCCAATTGCTCCTTCTCACTGCACTCATTTGCGGGGAAACTGCACAGGAAAAAGAACACCTTTAACTCTATCCTTCCCAGCAGTTTCTGAAACACATTGGCGGACGGCGGGTCGAACTGAGACATCAGTTAACCGTATTCACCGAATAGACAGATGCCAAATGACACATGGCAGCAGAGTACCTGGGCAGCCAGTCGCTGGCTGCGTACAGGGACCCCGGGGGTCCCAAAGGGGAGGATAAGGAGGAAAGGTTGGGGAGGGTGAGGATTTGCAAATAAAAGTTCACGAAGCAGAAAATAAAAAAGCAAATCATACAGATGTGCCAATTTTCAGGATCATTGCCCCTTCCGCCCTCTCTCTATGGTGAAAGGCTGGGTCCTTTGGGACCCCTTGCAGCAAAATAAGGGATGTCCCCTAATTGTAAAGCAGACTTCTCATTCAGATACAGATCTGAAAATTGTAGTCTTTTTTAATTATAAATGCCCTAAAGGGACCATACACCAACAGAAAAGGGCAGTTTTTAGGCTTTCTTTGAACATAATTAGCTTATCTATGGGCACTCTCTGACTTTTACATTCGACAGATGAGCCTTAGGATGGAAAACACGATTGTTC